GTGCCTGCTCCAGTTCCAAGACTCCAATGAGCTGGGACTCTTCTCTCCCCGGTGCCTGGTCCGAGGGAACGCAAACCCTTCAGGCAGCACTTGCAAAAGTGGGCCCGTTTCCATGAGCTTTCAACCTGAGTTCCACCCACAATATCACGGCCACTCCGACTTTATTGAGACTTTAGGATGACGGGCTCTATTCTCTCCTTCAGGCTGTCCACCCTACACCAGTGTCTGTCAGCAGGCTGGAGATTTCAAGGGGGTAATCAGAGACCCTGGAACACAGAGGCCCAAGGAGGCTGCAGTTCACTGGGGAGAGGGTTGGGGGCAGCCTGCAAACTACAAGTCTCGGGAGGGTGGCATGCTGTCCCTCACTGGGCTCCCAGCATTTGGGATTAGCCGTGATTTTAGTAAAAGGACACTATAAACTAGTTCTCTCTCCCAGCAAAAGACAACCCCCAGCACACACAAGACTTAACGAGAAAGGGAGGACAACAGAGAAAATCAAGATGCAAGCATGAATGACCTGCCATAGGCCTAGAACTCAGGAGCGCCGAGAGGGAACAGGTGTCCCCTGGGCCTGCCCAGCGCCGTTGGCTCTCGGCCTAGGCCGTGTGGGTGGATGAGCTCAAGCTTCTGCCAGCCATGTGACTTCAACGGGCAGGGCCAGCTCTCTGCTCTTTCCCTCCCCTGCGCATCACATCCCTGGCGGACACCAGTTACGCAAGAACATCTCACGTGTTGGAGCCGCGGAGGGCAGACGGCCTGTCCCCCAGGGCTCGAACCAGAGGGGAAGTGGCTTCCCACTCTACCTGCCTGGCCCACCAGGTCCATGCGGAGCAGAGCACGCTTGCTCTGCACCCTCACCCTTCTCTAGAACTTCAACACTGAGGCTAAAAGGCTCTGGAAATCTACCTTCCCACAAGTATATGCCAAAACCTCCAAGCAGCTCCAGGAGGAGGCATTTAGGGCTCAGTCCTTCAAACTGCCCCAAGCAGATACTTCGGTCACACACGGTCGTCCTCCCCCCAGTACTGGTTTTGGAGACTTCTGCGTTTCCTGGCACCTAAACCTGGGATTTCTGAGTCCAGCGGCTGTTTACAAGGAGGGAGCAGGAAGCACTTCTTATTCTGGGCTTTCCTTCCTAATACGCACCTGCTCAAGAAGAGCTGACATTTTCTGGTGGAACATTCCAGTAAGTGCATCTACAGAAATGAGGCTGAGGTGTCATGCTGAGGTACACCCAGAAAACAAATACCCACCACACTCAGGTTACAGAAGTACAGTGGAGCTGAGCACTTAGAACCCAAGGCTGCTTAATCCCCAAGCCCCGGGTATCCATCATTTATACGGATCCACTGTGTAAGCGATACGGGTGGGGAGACCCACAGTCAGAGGCGGCAGCCTCTGGCTTCCCAACGGCCGGCCGCATTACTCTGGCCTGCAGAGGGGCTCTGCCTGCACAAACCACATTATGATAAAATGGAGTTTAAGATTTCTCCTGTTCGTACACCACTACTTCTCTACCGCGGGCACGTCTCTCTTGTGCACTTGCTTTTTTTCTGGGGTCTTAAGTCATTGGCAGTCTATCGCTTATGTGATAAAACGAACTTACCTGAGCAGCAGCCGTCTCCCCCAGTTCGCTGGACGCTCCCCCCCACGCGCTCCTGCCTCCCTAGCAGTGGGGACCACACCTCTCCCAGGGCCTGGAAAGGCCTCGAGGAGTGGCTGAGGGCGGAGCTCTGGCCCTCATCTTTTTACCTAGGTGGCCCAGCAGCTTAACTGCCAAGGCTCTTTTATAAGACTGGGGGCCTGTTCTTAATCTTCAGCCCTCTCCCCCCAGGTGTAAAATGTTCAGGACTCTGTAAGCCAATAGGTTTTCAGGAACCTTCCCTTCCAAATGGGTCAGAGAGGAAGGAGGTGGGTCCCAATTAGCCTAATCTGCCAGGCGGAGTGCTCGACATTTGCAATCCATCATCCCATTCGGTCCTCAACAACCCTCTGAGGCAGGTTCCATCACTTTGCCCATCCTACCAGATACACCCAGGAGACAAACACCTCCCCCCACCGCCGGGTTACACAGGTAAAGCAGGGTGGGGCTCAGCACTAGAACCCACGTCTGTTAAACCCCAAGGCCCATGCTAGTCATCATTTATACTGATTAATTCTGCAACAGATACGGTTGGTGATTTTAAAGAAAACACTCAAGGGGCACCTGGGTGGCTCAGACAGTTGAGCATCTGCCTTCAGCTCGGGTCGTGATCCCGGGGTCCTGGGATCGAGCCCCATGTCCGGCTCCTGGCTCAGCGGGGAGCCTGCTTCTCCCTCTGCCTCTCCCCCTGCTCGCGCTCTCTCTCTCTATCTCTGTGTCTCGAACGAATAAATAAAATTAAAAAAAAAAAAATTTAAATAAAATACTCAATAGGGGCGCCTGGG